AACTCTGACAACTAAGTGCAGTACATGATCTCGCAGTGGAGGAAAAGTCCAGGAGTGCTATACTGGGTATTACTGCTGAATCGACACAACTGGAATATGGATAGTATGTTAGATAAAAGTATGGCACTGATGTTAAATTTCCTGCATTTGACAACTGTGCTGTGGTTAAATAAGGAAATACTCTAGTTCTTAAAAAATAATATATATTTATGTGAGTAATGTGTGTTTAAAGGAGTAAAAGGGCAAGATGTTTGCAACCTACTCAAATTTCTCAGAAAAAAATTATTATATATATATATAAAACATACGTACACACACACACACACACACACACACACACACGAGGTGAAAAACAAAACAGCAAAGTGTTAAAAATCGGTAAATTTAAGTGATAATATGTTATAGGAAAATTCTCTGTTCATTCCACGATTGGTTCCGGGACTCCCCACATATATCAAATCCTCAGATGCTCAATTTCTTCATATAAAATAGTGTAGTATTTTTATGTAACCTACACACATCCTCCCATATACTTTAAATCATCTCTAGATTATTTATAGCTAATACAATGTAAATGCTATGTCAACAGCTGCAAGTACGTGGCAAATTGAAGTTTCGCTTTTTGAAACTTTCTGGATGCTTTTCCAGAATATTTTCAATCCTTGGTTGAATCCTTGAATTTGGAACCCGCAGATACAGAGGGCTGACTATATTTCCAAACAAAAAATGCAATTCCAGTTTCTCTCTTATACCAAATTAAGTAGCAAAAACTAAATATTAGACATGTAATTAAACTGTTTACATGCTTTTGACTGCCAAAAGTTGATGCTGAAAAGCCAAGCAGTCTGAGTTTGTCATTTTCTATTTTCTAGGGTAGTTCTGAGAGATTTTCTTTTCTCTCCCCTTTGTCCCACCCCGACCCCCTTTTTCTGAATGATATGGAATAAGACAGAAAGCAGAATCAAGGAATGAGTGTTCTAAGTACCTCCTAAAATACATTCTGGAAACTTGAGCTTGAAACCAATCTAAGAAACCATACTATAGTTACACTTAAAATAATGTTTATATCAATGAACCTTTATTAATTTGGTGTATATAGGAACTCTTATTAATGTTGTCTAAAAGTACCTAAATAAAAGTTTAGAAAGAGTTACAAAGGTAGCTTAGAGTAACAAAGTTACCAATTTTAATTGGTGATCAAATAGGAATATAAAAGCAAAAAATCTGGCAATATTCTCTATGCCAAGCCCATACGATGTAGGTAGAATGGTCCCACAAAGATGTCCAGGGCCCTAATCCCTGGAAGCTGTGCATAGTAAACATAGTAAAAGGGACTGTGCAAATGTAATTAAGGTTATATACACCAAAATAGGGGCATTATCCTTGATTACCTGAGTGGGCCTAATCTAACCACATGAGCTCTTAAAAGCAGAAAACTTTCTCCAACTGGAGTCAGAGAGATGCAGCAGAGGGGAAAGTGAGAAAGATTCAAAGTACGAAAGGAACTTAACCCACCACTGCTGAAGGGGGGCCACATGGAAAACATGAGAAGGAATGCAGGCATCCTCCAAGAGCAAAGACTGGCCCCTGGCTGACAGGCTGACAGAAAAACAGGGACCTCAGTCTTACAAGTGCATGGGGCTGAATTCTGCCAGCTGTAACCAGGATGGACCTGGAAGTAGATGATCCCTCAGAGCCCAGTCCAGCCAACATATTGATTTGGGCCTTGTGTGACCAGGTTTAGAGAACCCAGTTGAGCCCAGCCAGATTTCCAACCTATACATCTGTGAGATAAACTGATGTTGTTATAAGCCACTAAATTTGTGGTAATTTGTTACGGCTGCAATAGAAAACTAATACTCAAATATTTTCTTAATTTATATTTCATTCTAGATATTTTAATTAATCAAGACAAATTTAAAAATTTGAAGCAAATGATTTTAATACAATTCTAGCTTTTTATTTCCTCATCAATTTTGTCACTAAAGGGAAAGATAATGTTAGAGTGACAAGATTGTGAGCACTGTAGAATGTCATTTTTTAATTCGTAAGTTAATGTTTTGCTTTAGAAAATGTTTTTAAAAAGCCATTTTCTCTAAGAAAGTTTAAATGAAAATTATGACTCAATTGAAGGCAATTTAGTATGAGGGTCTATATATGCCATGTAGACCTGTTTCTGACATATTAATTCATTACATGTATTATCAGCTGGTGCTTAAAGGGTTTGGGGGCAGCGAGTAGGATAATGCTAGAATGGTGCATGAGCTCAGTTCTTTGGAATATTCATATTAAGATTATTTCTCTTCTTCTTCTGTCAGTTGAGTGAATTCCAGGCAACTCTCCAAGGTAAGAAAGTTAAGCTAAAAAGAGCCAACCTACGGAAGGAACTTATCTTTTTAGCAGAATGCTATGAAAGCTTTTGGTGTTTTTTTAATAACAAGTAGGTATTTTTATAATATAATTTGTCATAGAAGATAACTGACAGGGTACTGATCAAGTTGGGGGGAAAATCAGCTAGAGTAATTTGTATTGATTTATCACTACCTTGTGGTCACCTTACTGTGATTACACAGTGATTACTGTGGCTAGTAATGTACTTCACTATACAACCCTCTCTATTAGCCTTTATCTTTTAAGAACTCTTGCATTTAGTATAAAGATTTAAAAGGGCTGAATAGTCTAGGACAGTGCTTTTCACACTTCTATTGTGAAGGATCAGTTTTTTTTTTTTAAATTTCTTATCAGTTGTGAATCAGAAATTTTATAAAATGTAATAAAACTGTATTACTAGAAAAACTAAACAAGAACCCAAAACATAAAAGTTTCTTAAATGGCAGTGCCTAGATAGCCATGGTGCTAAACTATGTTTAATGAATGACTCTACTGAATGCAATTTAATATGAGGGTCTGTATATGCCAAGTAGTTGGTCCACAAATGAATATGTCTTCATTGGAAAAGTGACTGTATCTGGTTATGTTACTGAATATATCTGATGAGGGCAGTACCCTCAGACAACTCATAATCAAAAAAACTAAATATTTTATGAGGCTCTAGGAACACATGACACTTCATTTAGAGAATAACATAGCAAGGTAAATTAGCAGTATTAAAGGACTAAATAATCTCTGTTTTTTCTGTGATTTTGCCTTTTGGCCTAAACCCTAACTACACCCAAACACAGGTCAGGAATGAATATAAAGGATGATGCAAAAGTCTAATAAATGCTTAAAGATGAACACCAGCCTATGTTAGAGGGTACACTTTCTCCAGAGTGCATCTATAAAGTTTTAACTTGCACTTACTTTTATGCAAAGAATGTTTTTTTTTAATGTAGAGAATTTTTAAGTGTAATAATGTATACTCACATATACCTTAGGATTCTTTAAATATATTAAATTATACTTAAATATATACTTTATATCTTATATATATTATATAATTATATATTTAAATGTTATATTCCACAAGTACCTGTGTTTCAGGGTAAAGTGAGAAAGCATTTAATCCTTTCACACACAGAGCATTCATATTTAGTCTCATACTGTCCATGAAGCCAATAACTGCTTCCTCCTCACAGAATGAAATGTAGCTTCCTGATGCAATCTGCACTGATGACAGCAGGGGTCACTGTCATGTGAAATCGCCATTTTTCGTTGTGTACAAGAATCCTCCCCAGTTAGTAAGTACTAGTTTTCAGAGAGACTGGGATCTTTGTAAATTGTCTTATACACCAAAACTATTTTAAAATCCCGACTTATGTGAATACAAAGTGATATATTTCAACTTACAAATTGAAACCTGTCATAAACTTTAAAAAGAAAAATTAATATATCAATAAAATGTTACTACTTTGCATGAATTAGCTTACTGAATCTTTCCTCATAGTATTTCTATTAGTATATGATGCCATTTATATTAAGTTCAAAAAGAAAAAATAATAGAATATATTGGTTACAGAATAGTTAACTTATAAAACTATACAGGACAGTAAGAATGTAATTATCATAAATTACAGGGTAATAGTTTCCTATAGATGGAAATGAAGGGTCTATGACTTAGAAGGTGCATGTATGGGGGTTCAGGAGTGCCGGTAATCTTTCTTTATTTATTTATTTTTTTTTTTGCGGTACACGGGCCTCTCACTGTTGTGGCCTCTCCCATTGCAGAGTACAGGCTCTGGACGCGCAGGCTCAGCGGCCATGGCTCATGGGCCCAGCCGCTCCGCGGCATGTGGGATCTTCCCAGACCGGGGCACGAACCCGTGTCTCCTGCATCGGCAGGCGGACTCTCAACCACTGCGCCACCAGGGAAGCCCCAATCTTTCAATTCTTGACCTATAATATGGTTACATAGGCTCCTCTTTTGTAGCAAGTCATTAAACTGAACATTTATGTGTTATACACACAAAACCAAAATATAGAAGGCCTTATCAAAATTGTGTCATTCCTATAAAGTACAGCTAGCCAGTACTAAAAAGAATTCTAAGGATTGAAAGGTTAATTGGTCCCGAATAACTTTCTCTAATTGAATTCCCTAATCAGCCCAAAATCTCCGCAAAGTTACTACAAATCACAGTAAAGATAGGAAATAGTTCTCAGAAAACCTCTTGTTATTTGTAAGAGGAAGACTTAAGCAGTCTCTTTCTCTATTCTCTTTACTTTATTTCTCTGGGTTTTTTTAGTTCTTTACTTTTCTTGTATAATTCTTGGGAATCTTAAAGTTTTATATATTTTCTTGGTTTCCTTCCCCAGGGACTTTGCTAATATGGATGTGATTTATTCAAATCCTTTTGTTAACTTTTTGAAATGCATAGTAATGAAATATTTATGGAGTTATACTAGACTGACTAAAATTATCTACTTGAATGATTGGCAAAAAGAAAATATTCACTAACTGATTATCCTCTTTAAGAATAAATAAAATATTGATATTCAGGCAAAAAATGAATTTGAGCATGTTAATTACACCTGTGCAAGTAGTCATACAATTCTTACCCTACCTGAAATCACATGCTGTGGTAACCTCTGCTCCTCCACCCAGGGCCCGACCTTGAACTAGTGCAACACTTATTAAAGGAAGTCTGTATATTGAAGGAAAAAGGAAAAATGGATGTTAATATTTTTCATTTTGATATTAATTTACAAATACTTTTAAAACTTAAGATGCAGTAGAAACAAAATTACTGAACTATGTTTATAAAAATAATCACACCTCGAAGTATAGAACTATTAGCCAATGTATCATGAGCAAAACAGTATAATAATGAAGATAAAATAATTCATACTAAATGCTATGTTAAGCTTATCAAAATACCTCCCTAAATCATTATATATTTTTAAACTATAGACATATCAACTTTCTTCCAAATAAATGGATGTTTTTGTGTAATGCAGGCACTCCTCATTTCATTGTGCTTCGCTTTATTGCGTTGGATTAGGCTTTGGCTAACAGTTAGCCAAGTTGTGAATACAGAGGAAAAGTTCTTGAAGGAAATTAAAAGGGCTACTCCAGTGAATATATGAATGATAAGAAAGCAAAACAACCTTACTGCTGATAGGAAGAAAGTTTTATTGGTCTAGATAGAAGATCAAATCAGCCACATTTCCTTAAGTCAAAGCCTAATCCAGAGCAAGGTCCTCACTCTGTTCAATTCTATGAAGACTGAGAGAGGTGAGGCAGATACAGAAGGAAAGTGTGATGCTAGCAGAGGTTGGTTCATGAGAATTCAGGAAAGAAGCCATTTCCGTAACATAAATGTGCCAGATAAAACAGCAAGTGCTGACACAGAAGCTGCAGCAAGTTATCCAGAAGATCTAGCTAAGATAATTCATGAAGGCGGGCTACACCAAACAACAGATTTTCAACGTAGACAAAACAACCTTATATTAGAAGAAGATGCCATCTAAGACATTCATGGCTAGAGAGAAGTCAATGCCTGGCTTCAAAGTTTCAAAGGACAGGCTGACTCTCTTGTCAGGGGCTAATGCAGCTGGTGACGCTACTAGTTGAAGCTAATGTTTGTTTACCGTTCTGAAAATCTTAGGGCTTTTAAGAATTATGCTCAATCTACTCTGTGCTCTATAAATGGAACAACAAAGCCTGGGTGACAGCACATCTGTTTACAACATGTTTTACTGAATATTTTAAGCCCACTGCTGATTTACTGCTCAGAAAAAAAAGATTCCTTTCAAACTATTACTGCCCAGGGCTTCCCTGGTGGCACAGTGGGTAAGAACCCACCTGCCAATGCAGGGGGCGTGGGTTCAAGCCCTGATCCGGGTAGATCCCACATGCCGCAGAGCAACTAAGCCCGTGTGCCACAACTACTGAGCCTGCGCTCTAGAGCCCGCAAGCCACAACTACTGAGCCCACATGCCACAACTACTGAAGCCCGCGCACCTAGAGCCTGTGCTCCGTAACAAGAGAAGCCACTGCAATAAGACAGCGCACCACGACAAAGAGTAGCCCCTGCTAACTGCAACTATAGAAAGCCCGCACACAGCAACAAAGACCCAATGCAGCCAAAAATAAATAAATAAATTTATAAAAACCAAACTGTTACTACCCACTGACTATGCATCTGGTCACCCAAGAGCTCTGATGAAAGCGTACAATGAAATTAATGCTGTTTTCATGCCTGCTAACACAACATCCATTCTGCCGTCTGTGGATCTAGTAGTAATTTTGACTTTCAAGTCTCATTATTTAAGAAATACAGTTCATAAGGCTATAGCTGCCATAGATAGTGATTCCTCTGATGGATCTAGGCAAAGTCACTTGAAAACCTTCTGGAAAGGATTCACCATTCTAGATGCCATTAAGAACATTTGCGATTTATGGGAAGAGGTCAAAATATCAACATTAACATGAGTTTGAAGAAGTTGATTCCAAATCTCTTGGATGACTTTGAGGGGTTTAAAACATCAGTGGAGGAAGTAACTGCAGATGTGGTGGAAACAGCAAGAGAACTAGAACTGAAGCCTGAAAATGTGACTGAGTTGCTGCAATCTCATGATAAACTTTAACAGATGAGGAGTTACTTCTCATGGATGAGCAAAGAAGGTGGTTTCTTGAGATGGAATCTACCCTGGTGAAGATGTTGTGAAGACTGTTGAAATGACAACAAAGGATTTAAAATGTTAAATAAACTTATTTGATAAAGAGCGGCAAGGTTTGAGAGGACTGACTCCAATTTTGAAAGAAGTTCCTCTATGGGTAAAATGCTATCAAACAGCACTGTATGTTACAGAGAAATCATTCATGAAAGGAAGAGTCAACTGATGCAGGAAACTTCACTGGTGTCTTGTTTTAAGAAATTACCACAGCCATCCCAGCCCTCAGCAGCCACCACCCTGATCAGTCAGCCACCGTCAACACTGAGACAAGACCTTCCACCAGCAAAAAGTTTACGATTCACTGAAGGCTCAGATGATGGTTAGCATTTTTTAGCAATAAAGTATTTTTAAATTAAGGTATGTACATTTTTTTAGACATAATGCTATCGCATACTTTAATAGACTATGGTAGAGTGTAAACATAACTTTTATATGCATTGGGAAACCAAAAACTTCTTGTGACTTGCTTTATTTCGATATCGCTTTATGCAGTGGTCTGGAACCTAACCTGCAATATCTCTGAGGTAGGCCTGGATACAGCTCCTGGAACTTTTCAGCAGCTGGCAATCGGGAATAATTCAATGTGATACTGTCTTAGTCCATTTTTATTGGTATCAGTTTATGGATGGGAAAATTAAGGCTGTATCCAAAAGGAAGAATTGTGGTACAGAAGATTGAGCTCCAGACCTGTTATTGAAGGTTCCTATCAAAAATGTTTTCATTACTCACTAAAATGATCCACAGACTGATCCTATATAAAAGAATGGTTCTGAAGTAAAAATAAGTCTTGGGCTTCCCTGGTGGCACAGTGGTTGAGAGCCTGCCTGCCAATGCAGGGGACACGGGTTTGTGCCCTGGTCCGGGAAGGTCCCACATGCTGCGGAGCGGCTAGTGCTGTGAGCCATGGCCACTGAGCCTGTGCGTCCGGAGCCTATGTTCCGCGACGGGAGAGGCCACAACAGTGAGAGGCCCGTGTACCGCAAGGGAAAAAAAAAAAAAGGATTTTTTTTTTTTTTTGGCTGCATCAGGTCTTACTGGCGGCATGCATGATCTTTGTTGAGGCATGCAGGATCTTTCGTTGCAGCATGCGGGCTCTTCCTGGCAGGGCACGGGCTTCTATTTGTGGCATGTGGCTTTTTTTCTCTCTCTAGTTGTGGCACACGGGCTCCACAGCACGTGGGCTCTGTAGTTTGTGGCACGCAGGCTCTCTAGTTGAGGTGCGTGAGTTCAGTAGTTGTGGCACATGGGCTTAGTTACCCTGCAGCATGTGGGATCTTAGTTCCCTGACCAGGGATAGAACCCATGTCCTCTGCATTGTAAGGTGGATTCTTTACCACTGGACCACCAGGGAAGTCCCTAAAAAGGATTATTAAAAAAAAAAAAACCCAAGTTTTAAGATTTATTTAAGAAAAAGTCAAATGTAATAGGGAGAAGTAGGTGAATAGGAGCTAAGACAATGAAGAAGGTATTTTAAACGGTAATGTTGATTTCACTTTTCTTTCTAGACTCACATACAAAGAGTACCAAAAATACAGTGATGTCCAATAAACAAGTATGCTAAATAAATATGAATTTCCTTAGTTATAATTATATTTAAATTGTTTACATTCAGAATATAGAAGTAGAAAGCTAATCAGCCCAATCATTTCACAGTCTGTAACCCCAAATACAAAATGACAGGCCCAAAATTTTCTCATTTTTCTTCCTCATCTAGGTGCAAAGTGAATCCATCTTCCTCAGAAATCTGTAAAAGCCTTCTCCAATTGGGAACTCTTTTTCTATCTCCTTGCGGATACAGACCACTTCACTATACATTCTACTAATTCTGAATATTAGGTAATCTTTATGTGTCATCTCTTGACCAGTGTCTATTCTGCTCTAGTAACAGTATTTAACCTCCCCATGTCTATACCTAAATATAACCAGATTATACCTAAATATCAGCTCTTTAGGGAAAAGTGCTATGTCTTTAATTCTTTTTTTATCTCTCATCTCTTATTTTTTAAGAGACATACTTGTACGTCCTTCAGTAACATTTAATTACATGACAATCCTTGATGGCACAAATAGTTCATCATTAGAATAAATATGGTTAGAAAGTCAGTGACTGCTTTTTATCTACTGCAAATCACAGAATGAAGAGCTATTTTTGGTTTATTAGAAACTATATTTTAAAAACAAAGATACATTACCTCATAAATCTTGTTAAGGTGTTTTGCATGAACATGCATACGGCCATTCCATCCTTTAAATAAGAATAAGCACAAAGATACAATGCAAATGTATTATATAAGAAATTATTAAAAAACACTTTCAGGATTTAGAAAGTAATAAAGCCAAAAATATACCAAACTTTATAAAATGAGGTTATCATTTAAAACTCTTTGAAGCTGTCTGAAATGCCAATGATGCAGTATTTAGCTGTGTGGATCTTCTAGGGTTCCTTGAGCTCAGCTTTGCATGCGCTATTAGTAAAGACTTAGGTGTGAGAGAGAGAGAGTAACTCTCACACCTAAGTCATATACCCCAGAAAAGAGGGTAGTTCTACTCAGGGTAATTTGGAGGGAAGAGGCATAAGACAAACCCACCTATTATCCCAAACTCTGATCCCCTAAGAATATAAACATAAAAAACAAGTTTCCTAATAGTAGTGTAAACTCACTGCCCCTTCTTTTTTCCCTCATATACTTTCTTCAACTAGTATAATGTGGTCTTCAGCCTTCTCTCAAAAGATTCTCCTCAAAGGTTTCTAATGATCTCCTAATTGTTAAATTAAATGGCTTTTCCTTATCCTCATCTTCCTCTGTGTCTCTGTAGTATACACAGCATCTTGCTTTGACCAGTTTCTGCATTTTGATATTCTCAGTTTCCAGCAACATCTTCCACTCCTGATCCCCTTCCTATTTCTTTGATTGTTATTTTCCAGTTTTCTTCTTTCTCTCTTTTTATTCAGCTAAATGCTATTACCAAAAATCCAATCCATGATTCTCTTTCTCTCCTTTATCTACAATTTTTCCCTTGGAAGTCTCAACCATTCCCATTGCTTCAACTACTGTTTTCATGTAGAGTCCCAAAACCTGCTAGAAATTTCACATTCTGCTAATACTTCAAATTCAGCATGGCAAAACCAACTGGTTGTGAAAAAGCTGGGTTTTAATCCTAGCACTGCCACATAATAATAACATAAACTTGAGCAGGTCGTAACTATGAACTTTGGTTTTCTCATCCATAAGGAAGGAATGAAAATTTTAAAAACCTGTTCTATTTGACTTAAAGAATGGTTGGAAAGATGAAAATGTACCTAGATACTCTGTAAAAGATCACAGAGTGAGTTCTGAGTTAATAGGAAAGGTTTTCTGGTCCAAAAGGCTCAGAATTTTGGTATTATCTTTAACTCTTCCATTTCACAGTTCTCCCATGCTCGATGAGTTAACAAGCATGTCCCCTCAATCCTTCCTCTGAAATATTTCCAATGCAAATCCCTTCTTTTTCTATTTTCTCTGCCACAACACTAGTTCAGACTTGTGTTACTCATGCTTAGATTATTACCAACAGCCTTGCTTCCTAACTGGTCTCTCTATATTTAATTCCTTTTTCCTCTGTGATATATCTTGCATCCTGCCTGAAAAACCTCCCTGTAGGATGATAATTTCATATCACCAATAAAATGAAGTCTAAATTCCTTGGGAAGGATTAATCCCAAACTATTTTACCAACTTTATTGACTACTGCACCCCTCATCCAAGCATCTTAACTTCTGCAATGACAAACTATTTGTCATTCTTTTAACACCTTACAGTTACGGTTGTTCCTGTGTCTTTGCTTACATCATTCCCACTATTTGGAACAGCCCGTCCTTTTCTCTACCTATTTCAAGGAATGCCCGGATCAAATATTTTTCCATCAGGAGTTTCTAAATCCCACAGTAATAGTTTTCTCCTTTGTGTTTCTGCAGTATTTTTATTTTTCTAACTTAACTACAGAATTTATAGATTGTATACACTGTGTTTGGATTTATTATCAGTCACATCATCTCTACAAAATAAGGATAGGGAACATAATCAGTAGAATGTGGTCCCAGTTCCCAGTCCTCAAAAATCTTGTGAGAAATAAAGAAATGCAACATGCATCAAGGTATAGTATAATAAGTATTTTAAGAAATGCTTGAACAAGCTGAGAACAGTGGCAAATAGGAAACAATTCATTTCAACTGGGTTGGGGTAGTTGAGAAGGTTTTATAGAGGAGAAGGGGAGATGGCATTTGCTAGGCCTAGATAATAAAGTCTTTGAGGCTAACAAAATGCCTTCTTTATCCTCAGAAGCTAGTAGTACAATGTTCTGCATATAGTATGTGCTTGCTGAAGTTAACTGACTCAGATGAATTTAAGATGGAGAACTATGTTGATTCATAAAACAAAGGCAGTCAATGAGTGGTAAAAACCAGTGTGATACTAATTTCCTAACTGAAAGCCTTTATCAGGAAGGTCAGTCTATACAATAAAGTGATGAGAAAATTAACACAAGCACAAAGAGCTAGAAGGTTTAAAACTAGAATGGTTTATATTCTATTAAAAATCTGTCCTATAAAGCCTGTTAAATTATCTCAACAAAGTAATTTTAATAGGCTTATTTTCTATTACTAGATTTTAGAGTACTTAAAATACTGATGGAATTATTTAGAATTGGTAGAAATAAAAGTGAAGCGGGTATTAACCTATGTACTATTATGCTTCTCATTCAAAAGATAAAAATCACACTAAAAATGTTTAAAAGCAATATGGAATAATAGATAACAACACAGACTCTAGAGCTAAACTGCCTAGGTTTGAATCTGGGCTCTACCACTTAATAGCTAGTTTGAATTTTGGCAAGATACTTAACCTCTCTGTGCCTCAGTCTCCTCACCTGTAAAATGGTGCTAGTAATAGTACCTATATCTCATTAGGGGAATTAGTAATAAATAAGTTACAACACAGAAGAGCTTAGAACAGTGCCTGACATACAGTACCAGAACAAGAATGTTATCTATCGTCATTATAATTAATATCAGTAATAGCAATCAGATAATAAGGTATGCTTTGGCTTTAAATGTATCATAGAGATTACACTGCACTAGCCAACATGACCTAGGGAGAAGAAATATTTAATTTATTAAATTTATTCCCTAAAGCTATTGAGCCAACAATGACTAAATGTTCAGGCTTCTTCCTAGGCTACAGGATGAAAATAAGCCAGTGACAGAGAAACCCTGACTTGTGATAGAATAAACTGAAAGAAAGGAACCAATGAAAATCTAGACCTACTCTGATGAATGAAAGTTGGGAGCTTGGAACTTAAACTTAATAAAGGTTTTCAGAGCTGCTGCAGAAGGGGATACTTCCATCCTATCTGGATGATACCCTGAGACCCAACCCTCCTCCTCCAGCTCCTCCTAGAATAACAAAGATGAGACGCACAATGCCCAGCCTAAGTGCCCAAGGGAACTATCAACGTCATATTTCCTCTAAACCACGTGTATACTGAGTGGAAAAATGCCCAGCCTGTAAACATATCTTATCCTAGAACTGTTAGGGAACCACTGACAGAAATCATCTGCCCTGGCCAGGCAGGGTAATAACTGCTTGAATGAATTATCTCACAACAGGAGGTCCTGATAAGGAAAATAGAACTGACAAGCTACCACCAGCCGGAAGAGAGGCCAAAGTGAGGGAGGAGATGCCAGCCCATAATATGTCCTGCCAACCTCCCAGAAATCCTCACGCTGGAAACCATCTTGACTGAGAGATGTATGCGCTGCCAGGAAGTGGACCAAATATGGGTACAAGCAAGACGATTATCCAGAGACAACCTGGAAAGCTAACCCCATTACCATAAAACCTGAGACTACAAGCCACGTGGCAGAGCAGTTCTCCTGGGTTCCTTATACCTGGCTGTTCTCTGCCCAGGCACCCCTTCCTAGTAAAGTCTTTTGCTTTGTCAGTACAGGTGTCTCCTTGGACAATTCAATTCCGAGTGTTAGACAAGAGTCCACTCTTGGGCCCTGGAAGGGGTGCCCCTTACAGTAACATAACCATAAATGAGCCTCTTTTTTTTTCCCTAAGTGCTTGTTGTATATATTAATTTCCTCAAAATACATGGAAGGGTTTCAAGAAAATTATAATAGCTCGTCTACAAATTAATAAGGCTACAATGGAACTGTACAACAGTCATAGCAAAAGCAAAGAAGTTAGACAAGAACTTTGAGGTCACTGTGGAAATTTAAGCAACAGAGAAATAGGGGGCAACAGACTGGTAGAAAAGTAACAAGGGAGGTCAGCGGACAAAGGAGGATATTATCTTCCAGCTAGATTAAGAGTATAAAGGTTTCTAAAACGCCAGACTTTTCCTTGAGGCATTAAACCCATTCACTGCAGAGTAAGCAGGTTTTTATTACCCCATATCTTGAAGCTTCCAATTGGATTTTGATTATTTCTGCCCTCTGAAAAAAGACTTCTTTTAGTCTGCAGAACACTGGTAGTATCAGTTCAAATCTTATAAATGGGTTAATACTTACACTAGATTTTTTCCTATTTTATTCTTTTTTTCTGTCCCATAACTTTTCAGGGCTAACGCTTGTGTTATGCTAATTCATCTCCCTGCCTGGACCTTCTCAACCAAGGATTAACTGCCTAATAGGAACAATTAGAGCTCTTTTCCTGCTCATTAAACAAAGGGTACCAATATGAAACCAACCTCTTAGGAGACCACATACATAAAAAAAAAAAAACTAGAATGACAGATAAGCAAATATAATGTTGATGACTGTTGATACTATTATGAGTACATGAGGGTTTCAAAGTATTAGTCTGAGAAGAAAAATATTGCTTGTCATATCACTAAACAAAGGATGTCACAGCCATCAGTCACAGGAGCCACTGCTGATGGTGAACCCTAAGGGAACTCGGGATGGAAACAAGGAATGCCCCCCATCTAGCAGTCATTAGACTGCAGCCACCCCAACACTGCAGATTTAAGGAAACTCAGGATGAGAAAACACAGAACACTGGCCCCAGATAGCTGAAGTGCCTATCAAAGGAATGATTTCAATGAGCCTAGACTCTTGCACCTCCCTATAGATAGAAAAGCAGTAAATTCCTTAACTTGAGATATCTGGTTTTCTTTAATTAACAATAATCTTTTGACATTCCGACTACCTGCCCTTTGCTGCAAATACTCCTATATATTCCGGTTCCCCCTCACCTCCTCGGAGCAGTTTCTCAGGGTTATTTGAGATGCTGTCTCCAGGCTTGAAGTCCTAAGAATGCCTGCTGAAAAATACATAACTCTCAACTTTTAGGTCATGCACTTTTTTTCAGTTGACATGTCTACTTTTGTTTATATTTGGTAATTTTCATTAATAAAATATTTTTTCAAAACTGAAAACATACAGTGGCAAAAACATCAACATAATTATCTTTTTTAAAAAAGCCATTTAATAATCACTTTCATGTATCTTATTATAATGAGAAGGGAAAGTAACCCAATTACTAAAATCATCTATTCTATTTATCTCATCATCCTCAGAAGAGCAAATTCACCAAATAGGCAGATGCAATGAGGCATTTGCAACAACAAAGAGTAAGTATATTAGATAAAGAAGAGCTTTGTTGAGAGAAAGGCTGTTTATACTTAAAGTCACGTTAAGCATCTCAGAATCTCTCAGCTGTGAGGGACAGATGCGTTTATACGTGCAGCTGCAATTCATAAACATGCATGAGCCTCAAAAGTCCCAAGGCCATTGAAAATTTCAGTTTTACACATATTTATAGGTACTTCTCAGGCATACAGGAATATGTTCTATATGAGAAATGGAAATAGTTAACAGGAACTTTATGTAAACTGCTTCTACTTCTTATTAATTTTAAAAATCATCATGTGACAAATACACCATACTTTATAAATATTACTGTGTTTCTTAATATTATCCATAAAGAGAATTTACTCAAATTGTTTATTTCCATGCTATATATTTCCTATAACTATGACTAAGAACGTTTCATAAAAGTACAATCACAATTCCAGATTTTTTTTTCTAATGAGACTGGCAGATGTGCATAGCTACAAGGGACGAACACCGGCAGTGTTATTTAAGCATTGGGGTAACACCACCCGAGTTCTCAACTGTTGATCAAAAGTCAATCTTACTCTACTGCAGGCATTCAAGACAGCAGATTACTTGGAGAATGTCCTTACTGGAAAGAATAAACTTTATTTAGTGATCCCTTACCTGAAGTCTGAATAAAAATGATACATATTTCCCTACATGATTTATATCAGGCTGGCTACATATATGTGAAACAATTAGCATGTCTCCACTTTTAGTTTTTACATTTATAGGGGAAAAATTCCTGGCCACATGATCTAGTTAGACAGCAACAACCTTCTAACTAGAAGAAAGCAAAATAACCTTTCACATTTTTAGGGGTGTTTTCCTATCTGACTGGAAGGTCAGGCCACTCCAGATGGCTGTTCTCTGGCTCTCTATACATTCCCTGCTCCACCAGTGCCTGCTTTACCTACACCCTACTCACATGACTGACCTTCCTACATACCTGCCCCAGGCCCCAGCTAGTGACTGTTCTTAACAAAGGGGTGGTGAGGGGCGTGCCCCTCTGCTAGTTTCCCTGGTAACCAATGAGCCAACCTGAGGTTAGTTCCCCTTAAAACTGGCAATCTCCCATCTCCCCTTGCCCTTGGAGTGAAGACTGTCCTGCCCTGTCCTACCCGCCATCTGCTGCAGATGGTGGGGTGTTGCTCCAGGACCTTGCTTCAGAGGCTCCCCCTATCCACTGAACCACTGATGTCTCTGTCACTGACTCCGGGCTCTTTCTTAGGTCTTAAAGCTGGGCAAATACAGGCCTTGCAGGCCTGCAGGGTGCAGCCCAACGCTGACAACACACCAGACCCACAGTAATCTATTATCTCATTCTACAATATCTTTATAGTATCTTTTGTGAACAAAGTAAAGTGCTTAGCAATACAATTATTCTAGAAATGAAAAATTATAATCAAATGACTTGCAGGTCACATAGTTAATTATCAGTAAAGCCTGGGCAAGAATCCATATATTCAGATCCGCAGCTTAGTGCTCTTGATAGGGACAGATTAAAGGGACAAAGTAGGTGATTAAATAGTTAATCCCACTAGGAGATTGTAAGTAAAGACAAAGCATGGGAGACCCTGTAAGGTAATGATCACTCAAGAAAGCAGGTTTGCTTCACCACAAAACCAAGCAGGCTTGCTTAGCAACAAAATCAGGCAACAGAAGCATGAGACATGCCCCAAACAATAAAATAATGGTGGATTGAGACCCACATCCTGTCCAGTGAGGTCAGTAAGTTAATGATTTCTAGGACATGCTTCTCTGCATACACTGAAAATAAAAATATTAGGAAAAGGTGACATTATACTGAAAGCTGAGATGATTTATCATATTTTAGTATATGTTACCACCTTTTTGCTCATTTCCATTACACTATGACAGCCCCAGTTTGACCATGTAGGGACAAGAAAAATCCCCCACCCGACATGGAGGAGGAACCAATGTTGGAAGTGTGATGTCTACTCAAGAATGAGGAAGAAGGTGGTCTTCTCCCCCTCCCCACTTTTCCTTTGATTATAAAACTGTAGCCCACTAAGTTCTCAGGGCAGCACCCTCCTGCCTGCCTGCTTGTAAACCTATAAGCATCCTATGCTAATAAATCATTTCTTATCTATCACTTTGCCTCTTGCTGAATTCTTTCCAATCTGAGACATAAAGAACCAGAGCTCCTCGGAGCCCCCCGCCCCGAGATGCATTTCTGCAGTTTCACTCTAACCGTTCAGAGGCATTACAAATTTAAGGCTAGTGCTGCTACAAATTACGGATCATTATGGATGACGATCTTTGAAATAAAAATAATAGCTACCTTTTTCAGACACCATGCTAGTAGGCACTTCATATATATTATCTTAAATCCTCACAATAGCTCTGTGAAATATACAATTCTTATTTATAGATTAGGAAAATAAGACTTAGAAAGAGTAAGTGATTTACCCAATCACTTAGCCAGAAAATGTTGAAACCAGCATTCAAATACAAATCTATCAAAATTTCCAAAAGAGAGATCCTTCCTCATATATTATGCAAATAGATCATTATACTACATAGAGTGGTATGAGATTTGTGCAATAACATTAAAACATTATTACCTATGTACAGCTCACATCTATAATTAAATGGCAACAGATACCTTTTTTTCTTTTTCTTCTCTCTCTCTCCTCTCTCTCTCTCTCTCTCTCTCTCTCTCTCTCTCTCTCTCACTCACTCTCACCCTCTCTCTTTTTTTTTTTTTCCTGCCTAGGGGATGTTAGTGGACAGCTGAATTCAAGAAAAACAGGTTGTTCGGAGGACAGATAATGAGAGATGATTCGGATTCCTTTTCTGTAATCATAATTCAAAAGAAAATTTTTTAACTGTTAGCATTTTTTGAAGTCTACCATGTGCCAAAGCTATGCTAGGTACCTCATGGAAAACTCCTTATCATGAGATGCTAAGGGACTTCCACTAAAAAAATTAAAATCCTTGCTGGCTTTAATAATGAACTTTTTATTGCTAGTCTTCCTGTCCTTCATTTTATTCCTCATTACTTCACACTATTACAAGCTAATCTTTACTTTAAGAAGCAAAACAAAAACTCGGATCCTTGGAAAGCTATTAAAGAAAAGCTGTCATGATAATAACCATGTAAGTAGAATATAAGTATCTTAGCCCAGATGTCTGACAAACATGTAGAACCTATTGCATAATTCATACAATACTTGCCTCTGGAGTTCCTAGTGCTTTCACAGCATTCAGATCAGATCCTGAGGAGAAAGTATTTTTTGCTCCGTGGACAATGAGCCCTTTCCCCTCTGTCCAGTTTTCCAACTCAATCACTTTTTCCAGAAGTTGTAGCATCATAACACCTGCCAGAGGGGAGGGGGAGTCAAAAACACATAAAATATTGGACAAATAGAAATAATTTAGAAACTGTAAGGTGTCAAACAAGACTCTTAGGTCACAAATTGTACAAATATTTACTGAATGTCTATCAAATGCCTATCATGTTGGTACTAAGGAGTATATACAAAAGAGGCAAGCATGACAGTCTCTGCTTTAAAAGTTTACAACTTGATAGTGACCTCTTTCTCTCTCTCTCTCCCCCTTAATTAAGAAGTCACATGAATATGTGGTTAGGTAGAAAAAATAATGCTGGCCCTAAGTATGAGAAATCTGTACCAGTAGTTAAAATAATCTTTTTGACTTTGTAAAATAAACATAAGAGTTGAAACAGACCTTAAAGAGTATCTGGTTGGCTGATTTTCAAACAAGGGCCTTGAGAGTTGTGTGGTGTGGAGCTAATTCATCATCTCACAACCCAACCCAACCCAACCACCATCATCCAAATCAAAGCAGTTCTGCTTGTATTAGTTTTAAATATTAGGCATCAAATTAATACTTGTTTCCGTTTGAATAAAAAGTTTTACTAATATAAATTATAAATTTGTAGCTATTCAGTAGTAAGTTAAAACAAGTATTTATCTAGTCTAAATCTCTCGAGCAGTCTTACCTTTCTAATTTTATTTTTCCTAGGCTAATATAAAAACTGGCTTTTATTCTCTGAACCAGTTGAGGGTATGCAGCTGCACTGTCCAGTAAAGTAGCCACCACGCACATGTAGTCCTTGAGCACTTGAAACATGGCTAGCCTAAACTGAGATGTGCAGTAGTGTGAACAGCATTGGGCAGGAAAGGCCTCTTTGCAGGAAAGAGCTCTCTACAGGAGGCCCCTTTTGTCTTGTCACTAACCTTAAGCCAGGCACCCCCATCCTCTACTCATCTCTGGCCCTAGCACAACTTTCAGATCTTTTGATCACACAATACATTGCCTAACCTGTTGGCTCTTTCCGTAGATCAAAGAAGTAGAAATGAAGAATAAGTAATTAAGACATGACCAGATCTCTTCCCTAGCTTCCCCTTCAGAAATCTCGAGAACAAATCTGTGTGAACAAGATAGCATCTAAAGAAAAATCACAAGAAGTCAACAAGCCTGCACACACTGGGGGATGGCGACGATTCTGACCCGACTGAGATTACTTCCCCTTTTCCCTTTAAAACTTTCATGGCTGAGCAGAATCTTCAGAGGTGGTTTTTGGGGGACAACTGAGTCCAACATCTCCCCAGATTGCCAGCATTCTGATTAAAAGCTACTTTCCTTTCTACCAACATCTGTCTCTTGAGTATTGATTTTTGAGTGGCAAGCAACCAGACCTGATTTGGTAACAGTAGTGTAAAATACATAACAGATTTCAGAGAATTGGTATGAAAAAAGAAAAGAGGAAAATACCTCATTAATAATTTTTGTATCAGTCATTTGTTGAAATATTTTAAGTACACTGGGTTAAATAAAATATGTTATTAAAATTAATTTTACCTTTCTTTTTCCTTTTTAAAAATATGGCTACTAGGAAATTTTAAATTACATATGTAGCTGACACTTGTGTCCTGCATTATACTTCTATTGGTTAACATTAATAGAGACATCTCTGAATTCTGCTGAATGTAAAGAAAAGTCATCTTGTGTTTAAAGACCCACCACTAATAATTTACAAAGTTTACAGTCTACTGAATTATGTGTATAAGTATGATTATATACAGACACAAGAAACTTTACTGGGATATTTTTGAACCCAATATTTCAAATGCTACTATAAAATATAATTCGCTCCCCCCACAATAAGTATGTAACTAACAAACAGAGTGCCAAAATCACCTGGAAACACGAGTGCTGGGTAGTCAGGAAGGTAACTCATGAGCTCTTGTATAACCTCATGGTAGGATAATTCAAATTTGAGCTTTGGCAAAAAATTACAAATTATCACAGGTCCTGGACCTTGAGGTCTCTTAAATATAAAATTCTTATATGCCAAGAGTGCTGCCTAGTAAATAGAAGGTATTTACCTGTATCTCAGAGCTAGAAAGGGGCAACAAGTAGGCAAGTGCAGTGTTCTCAGTGATTATTGGAACTATATGGTTAAAATGACAGTCTTATTTCAGTTCATAGAAAAAAAAATTTAAGCTAAATAATTTTTTTTCTCATTTTAGGCTTTTCTCTTTAGGTTGTAAAATCTTTGAAACATCCTTCCCTTTGTCTCCCAGTGACCTTAGCTGAACACAAACAAATGAAGTTATTAAGCACTTAAAATTTCAATGGAAAAAATAATCAAGATTAATTTGATGGTTTCCTTTTTACCAACATCCATACTCACGGATTTTTTAAAAACATTAAAATATTCACAATTAGTAAAAGAGTTCCTGGTTCAGGTGATCGTTTTGTTTTGTTTTCTCATGTTCTACAAAGAGTACCATGACTTTCAAGAATTCTTCAACAGATTTAAGGATAAAAGCATGGGACAGCAGGTTAGATTTAGTGTCGTTTTTTAACTAACAAAAGAAAGCTCTCTATACCTGAGAAGGCATTCATTTTACTTGGATTGTTCAGAGTAAGAATGCCAATGCCACTGTCTTCCTTCTGAAGGTCAATGGATCCACCAGGAAACTGCTCAAGTTTTCTTTTCACTTCTTCCTCATGGAAGCCATGAGAGGTACTATAAAGTGACAATCCTATTTGATGTAGCAATTTTGTCTTCATAGGGATAGGTGATGTCTTCAAAACATGTCTTGCCATTTCTGGAAAAGAAAGATAAGTATGCAGTAGTCTGGATAAACAGACACTTCTAGAATATTATACATTAATAGGCTTTAGTGAGAGACCTTTCTGTTTATTGGGAGGACTTCCCTACTTCTCAAAACACTCTCTGAGAAGTGTATAGGATTGCTTCCCTTCCCCCCCGCTTCTCAAACCAAAGGATATAAGTTACATTATTTCAGTATATCATCAGGAGATGATGACGTAGTTATAGGGCATTTACTGAGATCCAACACACTAGGAGGATTTAGAAAAATGTTGCTGTTCTGTAGTTAGCACCATCTCCTGCCTTCAGGGAGTCTTCCTCATGACAGCAGTTCTTCTTCCTTTAACTCTAAATCTAAGAATAAATTCAGTCCAGAAGTCCCCTTGGAAACAATCTCTATGCAGAAATGCTACAGAGCAGTTCCAGTCTCTAACAGAAAATTTATTTTTAGCATTATCCTTACCTTATGTAATGCTTTATAGAAAAAGCTGGAATGAGTCCTGAGGAAAGTGGGCAAAGAAATAGGAATGTATGTGTGTGGTTTCTGTATTCCCCAAACTTCTGTCACTCTTCTCACTTTATGTATCTCATCTCTGGGTAATCTCCTATCTGCCCAAATGCTTTTTTGCCCTATGTAAGTACTTTTGTTCACATAAAAAATACGTTCAGAAAATTATACAAATCATAGGTTACAGTTCAATGAATTTTCACAAGGTAAATACATTCAAGTAAATAGCACTCAGATCAAGAAACTGAACATGACTCCAAATAAAAATAACAACTATCTTGACTTCTAATAACCAACATTAGCTTGCCTGCTACTGAACTTTATATAAATTGAAAAATATAGTAAATATTCTTTTGTGTCTGGTTTCAACTACGTTTGTGACACCCATTACTATTATTATGTGTAATTAGATTCTAAATAGTCCATTCTTTTCATTGTTGTATTTTATTATATGAATATATCACAATTCATCTATTCTAATGTAAATAGTCATCTGGGTTGTTTCTGGGTTTTGGCATTACAAGTAGAGCTGCTGTGAACATTTTAGTATCTGTCTTTTGGGTCAACAAGTATGCATTTCTGCTGGCTATATCTAGAAATGGAATTAGTGGGTCAGGCAGCAGCTGGCTAAAACTGCTTGTTAAACACTGAAGAATTTTGCAAGTTGCTTTTTAAACCATAGGTAGCTTGAAATTAACCATGGTAAAAGTATTAGCAAACTCTGCATATCAATCTCTCCCCGCCCCCCCCCACAGCCATTTTCCGGGTACACCACTGGTCATAATGATCACATCTGTTCATTTATTTCACTTTAAAAGATACTGCCTAAGAGTTTTCACATCCACAGCTAGTGAACGTTCCAGTTGTTCCACAACCTTGTTATCACTTGCCAGTGTCTTTTTTTTCCTTTCTCTCCATTTTAGGCATTCTAGAGAGTGGTATATCATTGTGGTATCACTTTGCATTTCTATGATGTCTCATGAAGTCAAGCTCCATTTTCATATGCTTGTTATTTGCATATCATCTTTTATAAAGTGCCTCTTCAAGTTTTCTTGCTCATTTTTTTGCCTTTTTAGTACTAATTTGTTGGAATTCTTTTATTCATTTGCCTACAGTTTTTATTAAAACTCGTAAGACAACAAATTCTACATTTCCATCTCTAGTTGAGACCTTATGCCCAAGTCCTCCTAAATCAAACAAAAATCTACTTCCTTACTCCTCACCTCTAGATGTACCACAGGTTTCTCAAAATCACTGTTTAAACCTAACTCACAGTTTTAAAACCTGTAACTACTTTATTCCTTCCCTTAACTATCCACAGTATCCTCAACCCAGAAAGCCACAGCGGAAAACCCAATCTCCTTCGCCACCTTCATTTCTCATATGCAACCTTTTGTATTTTTCTCATCCTTTACTTCCTCTATGACTAACATAGTTCAAACCTATGTACCTGGATGAATACAGTGGGCACCAATTAGTTGTATACTACACCTTAAAATCAGAGCTATCTTTCTACTGTATGCCCCCAGAAGTACAAATCTTCACAGACATTTTCAAAGAAATTGAAAAGATTTAAAATTAGTCCTTCTCAGGACTTGAGCATGAACCTAAAAAATGAACCTGAAGAGGAAATAAAGTGATTAAGGTGGGAAAATTTAGGTCTATGGGAAATGAAAGGGATGGGGGGGGGGAAATACAATGTTTTTGCTAATTAAAAAGTACGAAATAGTTATGAAAAAACACAAGGATTTTGGAGGCTTCCTAAATTATCAACTAAATATAAGTATCAAGTTCTCTCAGGATTCTCTTAGCTAGCAGAGGAAATCTACACTAAAAATTTCAGAAGTTATTGAGAAATTACAAGCAATGGGGCTAGAAATAAATTAAATTAGCAAAACTTATATTCTCAGGACAAGATATATATGTATATTTATATGTATGCTCACGACTCCAGCAATGTGCAAAAAAGCCCTCTCATCCCCAACCACTGTTTTTTCTTTTTTATCTCCCCTTTCACTATCCCTAGATTCAAGTTCAGTGATCAAAGTCTGTGGGAAAAATAAGGTCAAAATATATCATTCAAAATGAGCTTGGAAGCCTTCCTTGCTTTTTAAAAGACAAATTGCAAAAAACATACATAATAACTAGATTAGCAATTAAGATAAATCTTTTAAAACAGGACAGTATTCTTTCTTGGATTATTTAAAGTAAATAGCTTCATTCTAAGAATAAAAAATGGTTGAATAGTTTCTTTGCATAAAAGCCATTAAGTAAATTACACCATGTGTATATAGGTTTTTATAGCCAAGAAGTTCAAAGGACTGGGATCCTAGTATATAAACATACATGCATATGATAAGAGCATTTGGTAAGATATAATTGGTAACAATTCAATTGGTATTTATTGAGTTCCTATTTAGTGATCTCCCCTTTGCTAACTAGCTATTTCAGAGAGAAAAAAAAAGTATTTTTAGTTTTATCAAAGAAACAAAATACATACACACTCAGCAATAATATTCAACTCTCTAGTTGAAAACAGAACAAAATCCCTCCTTTTATTAAGCTCTATTAGAGACCTGCATCAAATTTAAAATATAGCCATAACTTCATAAAAGGATTTTTTTCTCTTCACCAATAAACTTTTATCACGAAGTCTAAGAATTTTCTATAGGCAGAAATGGATCCAAAGACATGAAATCAGTGCATGGGATTATACTTTATTTCCCTTCATTCTTTCCAAGTTTTAACATTCTAAGCAGAAGTAGAACAAAAATCAAGCAACATTCTAGTTCTGCTGGGGAGTAACCAAAGAAAGAAGTAAACTCAGATCAGCTCTTTTTTTGCAGTGTCTTGTGGCCAAAATATTGGCAGAGGGCTCTACTTTCAAAATACTCTCATCTTACATATTTCCAGAGTATCAGTTCTTCACCTGATTACGTTAGCACTAATCTATTAGAATGAAAATTATATAGTCCCACTACCCTCCCAAAACAAATCTAGAAAACAGACAAACAGAAAATAGGGCCCACATTTCCATTTTACAAGTAATGAAAGCTTACCTTTATGTGAAGCTTTCCTCTAGAGAGTGACCTGCTTACTGTCAAATTCTGAAACAACAGGAAAGCTCTTGAAGTTCTCGCTCTGCTTTTTCTCCATATAAATACATGTAATTTTTTAAAACAAATTATCAATTTATAAAAACTTTTAAAACTTGAGACACTGTTTTAGGTAACTAAATAGCCGCCTAGAATCACAAGTCTTTTGAATAGACAAGAACATACTTTACATAAAGGCTCTCGGATGAAATCAAAACATTTATGAGGTTATATGAAACTGCGCGACACTACTATTCATGTATTACTTCTATAAAAGATTGCTTTCATTTACTTACTTTGAAATCAGGTTGTATTACAGTTAGCCAGAATGAAAATAAATGTAGACATTAAGAATGAAGAAAGCTAACCTAACATACTTTTGAAAAAGTAAGGTTTCAGAATGAATGTGTTGTAGTTCTTAACCTAAGTAAACCATACATTTGAAAAAGTAAGGTTTCAGAATGAATGTGTTGTAGTTCTTAACCTAAGTAACCTAAGTGTTGTAGTTCTTAACCTAAGGTATTTCTTTTTGTTGTTGCCTTTCTTTAAACTCTTCTTATGCTCTTTTCACTATATGCATGTATGCTACATTTCTCACTAAACATTTTTTTAACTGAAGGATATCATTCCAAATTTAGAGGGGATGGTCTCTACCTTTGCTAGTGATCTCTCCCAACCTTCTAAACTGCCAATTTCAAGACTAGTTTTCTAAGTACTCTGTTTTTTGCATAGAAGATATTTAATAAAGAACACAAATATTGCCATTGGTGGCCACATAGGTGTCTGAAGGTTCTGGCAGGTCTGACAACTGAGCAAGTGTCCTTATTAAAGGTAATGATATTTCTTAAAAATTGATGTACAGCCAGAAACCAGATAAGAAAGAATTAGAGATGAAGCTCCTGCCTCCAGTAAATTCAAAAACGCTTATGGGTAGGGACCACATCTTATTCATGGCTTTAGCATACAGAGCTTTACATTTAATATTTGCGGTACTAAATGATACCTAACGTGGTTATTACCATACAGGGATTACTGTACCTAACCATCATTTCCCAAACTAAATAAAAGATCTCTATTTGCCATATAGAAAAAGTTTATTTCATTGTTGGAATTCTAGGAAATGCAAGTCCAGGATATGTAGCTACAAGTGCTCAAGGGTATTACAGTCAGCCAGAGAAGGAGATCTCCTTTTCACTGGCCCCTGGTCAGTTTGATCCAGGACCACGACTCCACCGTCAGTCCTAGCTTAGGAGCCCCTGCTCCTTTTCACAAAACAGACAAGAGCTTTGGGTCTGATATTTTTTTTCTTTTCATGTTTACAAATTGGGTTTGCATACAACACAATCTCTATTGGATCATTAATGAAAATACTAACACTTTTTAAGAAATGATGGTAAGTAATAGATAACAAAACATCGCTCTACCTATTTATAATGTCTGTAGTTGGTAATACATATTTTACAAGGGTCTGGTTAGTAGTATTCTTCATACTTTAACTATATAACCAGATTTCCCTCACAAGGGTTAGGACTAGCCTGTTACATTCTCTAACTTCCTAGGAATGAAAGGCAATTTACCCAGTGAGTACTGAGGTTAAGACCATGTCACAACTAAGACCCGGTGCAACCAAAATAAATAAAAATTAATTAATTTTAAAAAAGACCTAGTAACTGTTCGTGGCAAATTTAAATGGGGAACCCATGACGACCTATTTGCCCTACCTTCCCCACTCCTCCTTCAAAGGAAGATGCTATCGGTTTTGAGCCAACGACATTCAAAGTACCACAGCTTTCTGTAGAAGGCAACAGAGTGAAACTGTTTCCATTGGCACTGCTGCCACTTTGGATTTCTTTGTTCTCATCTCCCTCCTTTCCTCCTTTTCCTCTCTACTGGGTTCTCTCTCTCCTCTCCTCTCTTTCTTTTTCAGCTTGTGTGGTACATGGAAGCGGGGGCTGCCTTTATCTTCGGAAGGCATCTGAAGAAGGTTAAAGGCAGTAGGGCTCAGGGTTCCTTAGGCCTGCTTCTAGTCTAAGAAAAATAAGCTCTCAAGGTCACCTGCCAGATCAGTTCACAAAACTGAGAGGTCTACATAGAGGGTCAGAGCAAAACACAATATGACCAAGCTTGCTTTTGCCTAGAATATGCTCTATGCATGTTTTGCCCCTGGGGATAAGTCATATATAGAAGAGACCACTCAATGGAAAATTCAGTTGGGGCAGAGGTCTCTTCCACATTGACCATGACTTCAGTATAAAAGAATTGTGCCAAAGAAACTTGATGAGAACTTAAATGACTATTTAAAAAAATAAATAAATTTCCCTGTTTTCCATAGTATTCTGTTTAGGGAAAAGAATAAGGAGTTAAACTAGAAAATAAGAAGGGGTAAGGCTTATAAAATCATTAGCATTTTTAAGTATTATGAAGGGATAACAGATTCAATAAACGTTATCCTCTTTCATTGTAAGGAGTCTGTCTGTTCTGTCTTCACACACTTCCCTACCTCCAATAACCAAAACAAGGGCAATTAGTATAGACATCATCAGATCTGTATCTCCTCATACTTAAATCATTACAAATTTAAATATTCATGTTACTAACATTTTTGCCTCATTGGACAACTCTGATATGCTGATTTTTCCGTGGAAACCTTATAATAAAAACCTCATTATCCTTTTTCTCTTTTGATTCCATATTTTTTTTCTTTTCCCCCCTCACTCTTGTCCCCCTTGCACTAACTCTCCTTTCTTTTCTCTTCTCCCCTTATATCCCCTTGTCTGTGCCACACACTAGTACCAGAGAAACTCAAGGGCACTGCTTAAGCCTATTAGATTTGCTGATCTCAAGTTTAGGGATCCAATTCTTGACATTTGAAATAGCCTATTATGGATACTTTCATCCCAATTCTAAACTCAGAGATTAAATTAGACAGTAGTTCAGTACTTAGAAGATGACAAGGTGTAAACCACTATTAAACTACCATATTATCTGAAAGTATAAGTGAACAAACAAGGGCTGAGATTCTGGTCTTTTATAAGCATGTAGTTAAGCAATCGGCATTTTGGATTTGTCCCAGGATCAGAGGCAACGAAAAGGTTCGGAGGCATTTTTGATTTTATAAATTTTCTTCAGGACAAAAAGTATGTTTAAAACTCATCCTGCAGGATGGTTTGCTGTCCTACCACAAGCAGATTCAGCCCAGCTGAACAAGCTCACAACCATACCATGGGAAAAGGAAAAGAGAAGAGAGCCCTGTGTACATCTGAGATCAAAGGTTTCACTTTCTCCACTTTTGTTTTAAAGTTCTTCAAAGGTGATCAAATAGCTCCCTTCCCTGCACAGGATCTAAGCTAGCTGTTCTCTTAGAAGGCATAACCCGTTTTACCATGTGTTGAAACTGCTACATCTAGACAATAAACACAGACGCATACTTAGTAAGAAAACAATTAGCTTAACGCAGGGAGTAAACAAAAAATCAAAACTATTCTACTTTAGACTGTCAGTATATGACCTGTTTCTCGTATTTTAGTTTGGTTTTAGGCTGTCATTTATTATCCTACCTTTCAAGGTTAATTACGTGCCACACATACCCTTCTTCCTCTCAGCCAACATGAACTTCTTTCAGTTTTTCAAATCCTTCAGGTGTTCTCTTCATTCCAAGCCTCTGAATACGTGCTTCCCCCACCCATTACACTTTTTTCTTCCTCAGACTCCAAGTCATCTCCTTTAATACTCTAAACTATACCAAATACTTTTACTCTCTGTTCTCACAATATTTATATCCTTTATTAACCCTCACTCACGCTTTCCTGTAATGACTTCTTTAACCAAATCTTCCCACTAGATTTAGCTGTAAGAGGGCACTTGCAATGCCTAGTACAGTACTTGACAAATACTATTCACCAGTAATAATTTGGCACACAATGCTTGAGAATCCATAATGCCATACAAGGCTTAAGAAGCTGTCCACAAACCAACTCTACCTACCCTGTTTATTATTCCCACCATTCACCCTGTTTCGGTTCCATTCTTCCCTGCAAGCTGGTCTCTCCTCTTGGAATGTTGATCACTGCCTGTGCCCCAACTAACTGAGATCTGCTCATCTTTCAGATCAGACCAATAAAATATCAAGAAAAGATCCTCTGTTTTATTACCATGCTCCTCCCTCCCCCAGCAGATTTCGCAGTTATATGTGTGTGTAGCATTAAAAGGATTAATGAGGCTCAAAAGAATTCTAGAATGAAAGAACATTTACCAAAAATGAGTTAGTCATTTTTGCTGTTGTCGAAAAGTTGGCTGCATGAAATGAAGGATGCAAATTTTACTTAAGCAAGATAATTTAATACAGGTAGTGAGAAGGACAATTACAGAGTTCCCAGGGAACATTACCTACTGTTGAAATCAATTTCTAGGCCCAAAATAGAGCTGTTCCTGCCATGGGTCCCACATCAGCAAACCAAAACTTAGACAACCTCCATTAGATAACTTTCTGTATAAAGGCTTTATCCCTCCTGTGAGCACTCACTCACTTAGCATTTGGCCCAACTCGTTTGGAATCAGGCTGTTCCTATTGGAACTGTGCTGATATTTGACCTGCAGACTGTTTAGGAATTTTCTTTTGCTCTAGGAAAAAAACCTGAGAAATGGGATCCCAGTAATCTACATGTTGGAGTTCGCCCCCTGCCCTTTCAGGGACTCTGGACAGTACTACATTTAAAAATTGCAGTCCTACCTCATGCACGTTTCAAACGAAGAAAGAAAGACATGTCCTCTGAGGTCTCTCTCTCCCCTCCTCCAATTTTCTTTGTCTCAGGCCCTGCCTCCAGTGCCGGCTTCCTCCTTCCCTTCTCCAAGATGGGTACTAACACGGTTCAGATAGTGGGAGTCTCTGCAATAGGTCTTTTTTTAGGCCTTTTGAGAGATACCCACTCTTCCCTCCTTAACTTCCTCTGCCCCCTATTCATTTATTAGGCCAAGACTTCTTAGAAAAGTATCATGCTGGGATTTCTTTCTCCCCAAAAAGGAAATAATAATTCCAGAATTTGACAGTAGATAAATAAGCCTTCAAAGCAATAAACTCATTCCTTGTAATACCCCTAGTTTACCTGTGAGAAAACCCGAGGCCAGGGATGGAGCTTTGTCCAGAACCTCTGAACAATAAATAACACCATTATCCCTCAGTACCCTATTGTTCCTAATCCCTACAAGCTACTGACATCCATTCCTACTGAGATCAAATTTTTTGATAAACTCTTCTATTCTCTACTTTGTTATACTATGTAGATAATCTGTTTCTCTGCCCCCCTTCTCAAATTTCTTCACAGAAAAACAGCATCCACCTGTTAAAATGTTTGACCTTAAGGGGATGTGATGTCTCCAAAGAAAAACTGCAGTTTGCTCAAACCCAGGTTCAATATTTAGGACACCTGATCTCGAGGACAGTGGAATGCATTCTTTAATAGGTATGCAGAAATTTCTAAAAAGACAAGAGGACTCCGAAAAGACAGCTCTAAGAGGATCCTTACAGTATGCAATTAAACAGGTTAACTTAGTCCATCTGCCAGAGATACAATTTGGATCCAAATATTCTCTTTGAGTTTTGTACCAGGCTATAAGATCTCTGTGTCTGTCTGTGTGTTATGTGCGTCCATATATGTGTTATAGATGTGTTCTTTTTATACCTCCAGATGGTACTGCCAAAATTAATTTATAAAAACAGTTCTATTTAACTGGCCTAAAAAAATTAAGTACTTATATAAATTAAATTATCAGAAATATAAGAGAAACTCAAACAGATGCTTTTGTGGTTCATGTGATCTGGGAAAATATCGGGCATTAAAGCTAGTTTAAATTTGTTAGTCTAATTGAAACAGGAATGTCTTTAGAGTTATCAGCATTAAATATAATACTTTTATTCTACTTGGGTTTACTAGTCAAATAAGTTCATGTTATCTCTGTTGCAAGTTTGTTAGAAAAAAAATTTGCTTGAGTTGATGGCTGACTTTGTCTAATGTCTCATGAAGTTTTTGTGAGCAATTTAAACATAAATGCTGGGAACAAATAATTCAGATAGATGAAAATGGGGTAAGAGTGTTTAGGTGCAATAATTATGTTTTATGATATGTGTCCTTAAAAAAAGTAGCATACTCAAATCTTTATTGAATGTCTGGATCATTCTCCAAACATGATAAATTACTAAAACATTAATTACCGAACACAGATCTATTGCTTTTGGCTTTCTATTTTAGAGAAACCAAAGTTAAATTTTTGTCTTTTAGTAACCATGTCTTGTGTCACACTGAAAGACTGTACTATTTAAAATGGCATATACCTTTGGAAACTAGAAAATACATTTATAAATTTGCTACTCTAAAATTGCTTACTTCTTAGTTTTCACTAGAAATCAAAGTTTCTAAGGGTTATATATTCTGATTAATAAATATGATTAAAGCTACTAGAAATGATAAGGAAAACATCGCTGTATGCAAAGGAAGTAGTTTTGTCCTGAAGTAAAATAGTTGCCAGAATAAAAAGGAAAGGATAAGACAAAATCTGAATGTAAAGAGAAAACTGTAGAAGGGTTTGTGAAGCAAGAATCTTTTGAAAGAAATTTTATACGCAATAAATTAGGATAAGATTAAATATACTTGCTATAAGGGTTTTAAAAGTAAGCTTTAATATCAATAGTGTACTTATGTAAAACTGGAACTTAATTTTCTTTCAGCTGCTGAAAGGACATAGTTTGCTTGGGCTATTGGTCTGCTCCTGATAAGAGATTGTGAAAGGTTTTTCCTTACTTTTTTGTGTTTTATCAAAATTATCTCCTGTGCTTTTCTAAAAAGCTGTCTTTTTTATAAAGAAGAGCTAAGGGTTTGGTTTGGTTTTTTTTGTTTTGCAGCTATGTAACCTTCTCTATTTGTCTTTTGAAATCTTTTTGTCATTTTGATTAAATAGATACTTGGTGTTTTGTAATCTTCAGTAATCTTATTTGGTCAAATGTCCAAAACCTTTTGATATTTTTGAAACACTTCCCCAAAATCAAACTCTAAATTAAGTCGTTTTGACCTGAAAATAACTTTGGGAATCTCCAGACGGCCCCTGGGACTTCTCAGAGGACTTGTTCTCTCTTCTTATAAAAAGGGAGATGTTAATCAGGTTTATCTGATATGTCAGATTATATGGGAAGCTTTGTCAAATAAATGATGATAAACTTTCTTAGGTTATGTTGTATACGTGAATGTTATTAAATGTTCTAGAGATTGTATGAAAATTCCTATGATTCTGATGTGTCCTGGCATAATGTTATCAGCCATGATTTTAAAGATGTAGTCATAGAAATAACCAAATTGACTTGTCAATTACATCATAATGAACCTTCATCAGATCTTTAATCATTACTATTTTTAAGTCTTTTGTCAGTTATAGACAGTTGTTGTTTTACTCTGGTGCTTTTGCAAATATCATTTCTAGTACCTTTCATCGCAGAAAAGATCCTGACAAATACTCTAGAAGGCAGGTGTTAGATAACTGTAAGATATTACACAGAACTAGATTTAAAGGACCTTTTTCTTCCTCTCCTTTAAGAAAATGTATCTTTGGGCTTCCCTGGTGGCGCAGTGGTTGAGAGTCCGCCTGCGGATGCAGGGGACACGGGTTCGTGCCCCGGTCCGGGAAGATCCCACGTACCTGGGCCTGTGAGCCATGGCCGCTGAGCCTGCGCATACGGAGCCTGTACTCCGCAACGGTAGAGGCCACAGCAGTGAGAGGCCCATGTACCGCATAAAAAAAAAAAAAAAAAAAAAGAAAACGTATCTTTGTAACAAAGGTTAAAATATTTATTTTTTTTCTCCCGTCCTGATCCCTCCAGAATTCAAAAACTTAAGTATGTTTTTCATGACAATATGTGTACTTGCATAAATTCAATGAGAATCTGTTCTCCTCATAACAAGACACAACTGGAAATATTGGCTATATTACCAAGGCTTCGGCTGGATTATCATATTCAAGAAAGACGTACATAGACAGATATGACCAGACAGCTTTAAGGAACTTCTCAAAAATAATAAATAAATCAGCCTGGTACCTTGCTTACAAGATTCCAGCAAAACAATTTTGAAAAAGAGCTTATATGGTCAATCACCATTCTTGCTGCATTTATGTAAATAATCAAACCAAGTTTAATACCAACAAATTAGTTTTACTATGATTATCTTTGATAAAAGTAAGGACAATCATAGAAAAATCATGTTTGCACTTACGTAGCTATCAATTATCTCCAAGGTTTTGTCATATACCTGCACACTGGACTGGATCCTAAATTCTTCTAGTCTCCAATAATGTCTGGCTACTCCTCTCCAGACTAATGTTTTCAATTTTCTTCCACTCTTCTGATTTGAAATCAGTAAGAACAAAGACTGCCTTGAATCCTCTTGGAAGGGACTATACCAGGTCCTCCTCACTACCTAGAAGGCAGCCAAACTTCAGGGACTCGAACCTTGAGTACACATCTCACAGCTAGAGAAGACCGCACCTGACATGTGGTCCTACACAAACACTGGAAACCTCCAAATCGAAATGACTAGGAAGAGAAGCAGCTGACAACGGAGGCATACAGCTTTCCAAAGATGACCTGACCAGGCCTGTATACCCTTTTTCTCACTGTTGCTTTTTTTTCACTCTCTCTCTCTTTCACAGAAAGACAATGCCCTTGTTTGTATTTCCCAAATCCTCTTCTTTTGATTATGGCCTTTCAGAAACTACCTCATCATGACCCCATAACAAATTAGTCTTTTCACCTGCATTTTGGGTTTTTTTTTAAGAGTTAGAAGGTTCAGAATTCACTGAAGTCTTACTTTCATCTGGACTATTAATTTTTTCGGGATTCTTACCTAGATTCATGGTCTTCGAATTTGCAACCTTACAGGCTGTCTTACTGGATAACACACTTGGTTCTAAACAGCTCTTTTGGGATAACAATACTATTTTAATATGTCTTTGAAGTTCTGCTGTTTTTGCAAACAGCTCATAAGCTATTGCTCCATACTTATTCCTGCCCTGTCTTCCCAACATGCTCGGTTAATTCTTTCAGTTTATGCTGTTGCTGTATTCACTGTTCTATTTTCTCTTCAATACAAAACAGAAGCCTCCCATTGATCCATTTTACTAAGCCTTCATGGCCACCTTGAGTGGGAACTTCCAGGAGGCATACATGACTCCATGTCTGCCTCTGTAGGAAGGGCCTTTTTTCCCTCAGGTCCGAGTAAGTGCCAAAGAAAACATGATTAGAGCAGCAGAAACTCAACTGCGTGGAAGAATTGAGGAGAAAGAGCACTGGTTGCAACAAGTCTCACCTGACCCTCCATGATTTGTTCAGCTGGCTACCCGCAGGCCTAAGGTCCTAGTTTAGACCATCATAAAATTTGGAGTTATGTTACTTTTTTTTTTTTTTTTTTTGCGGTATGCGGGCCTCTCTCTCACTGCTGTGGCCTCTCCCGTTACATGCAGGCTCAGCGGCCATGGCTCACGGGCCCAGCTGCTCCGCGGCATGTGGGATCTTCCCGGACCGGGGCACGAACCCGCGTCCCCTGCATCGGCAGGTGGACTCTCAACCACTGTGCCACCAGGGAAGCCCTGGAGTTATGTTACTTTTAATTCCGGTTTGTATAACTATTTTAAGTTCTGTATTTTGTTTCCTGTAAAACCTTTGTAAAACTGATGTGTCCAACAGGTAATGCTGGCTCAACATTTCAAAATGATCAGAATGGTCTGCAACGCTTATGACCTTAAGAAGACACAGACTTTAGATGGTAAGTGCCTGAGATTTCTCCCTCCTACTCCTCCTTGTTACTTGAACATGACCTCAGTCGTTTCCAATCTGTGCACTTTCCCTTTAAGGTGGGACACAACACCCAGGAAAAGTCCTGGCACCAAGGGACAAAGGCCACTGAAGATGGAAAACCTGACTCTTGATCAGCGATGCTTTCAGAGAAAAGCAGAAAATGCCAAACTGAATAGAGGAAACCTCATTTAAAATAGCTGGGAGTCCAGAAGGGGGAACCCTCACACACTACCACAAGAAGCATCAACTACTCCCGTTAATTACATACTCCAACAGCAAAGCATCATTCACAGACCTACTAGGAGGGAAGATTTCCTGTTCACCCAGCAAATTTGCCTAGGAGGAACCATCACCACCTGAACTCTCACTTTCTACCAGGGGACTTTCTTCAGAACAACCCCTCCCAATTTCTTCCTTTTTCCCTGTAACAGAATGGGCCTCTCCTTTGTTTGCTGAACTTATCTATGGCTTTTCCTCTAGTTCGCTTGTCTCGAATTGCAATTCCTCTGCTATTCCCAAATAAGCCCATTTTGCTGGTAAAATAAACAGCTGTTTTATTTTTACCTTAAAAGCTTCATGCCTTTCACCTTATTTTGCATGTCTCCAAAAGGAGACTGCCCACTTCATGTCAATGTGAACTTAAACTGTATCACCTAAATTATTTTCTTTAGTCGTTTTTTTTTTAACACTGCTGAGAAGAGGGCCTGGAAAGTATTCAGCATTTAAATTAGTGCACTGAAATCAGGTCTCCCTATTCTTTTGAAAACGTTTATGTCAGCTGTTTCTCCACTCTCCCAGGAAAGTTCGACTCGTCTTTTCCTATCACCCTCCGCTCACCAGGCAAAGGCCTCTGCGTCGCTGTGCGCTGCGTCCCCACGCCCAGCAGAGGGCAGCGGGCCTGCGGGGCGGCTTCACACGGACCGCGCCGCCGAACCCCCGCGGCTCGCCGTCTGGAATCCCTGTGGAGAAACACTAAAGTCCGTTACGCAGAGACAGCTAGGGTCCTCTCCTAGACGGTACTTACTTAAAGTGAAGCTCCTACGGCCACAAAGTCCCGCAGCTCCCAGAAGCGCCGACTTCCCCTTCCGCCCCGCCGCGCCCCCATTCCGCTCCGCCCAGATCCTCTTCCGTTTCCCCGCCCCCGACCTGCAGCGCCCGTTGCCTTCTGATCTTCCGCGGCCCGTTACCTATATTACGCGTCGGCTCTTTCTCCCGGCGATCCTGTCCCCAGACCCAGGAGACCCCGTTGTTGGCCGGGTGCTCGTGTCGTGAGTGAGCCCTGAAAGCGGGCTCCTATCTGCCGAGCTTCGCGACGCAGGGCCGGGGCTGGTGCCCGGAAGCCCCGAAGTCCTGCGCTGTTTCAGGCTCCTGTGTAAACGTGGAAAGAGTGAAGGAGAAGGACCAGTTTAGGAGAACTTCGAAACGGGAGGGGAGAGGAAGTTATCTAGGCTGTGCCTTCTTACACATGTCATCTGTGTTATTGAGTGGAGAGAAGGCATTTTTGTGTTTTTTGTTTTTGCCAGAAAGCATATGCACCGCGTGTAATAGCGTCATTGTAACGCTCAACAAGCTTAAAATTATTTGTCAATCCGAAGTGCTTTGGAAGGTAGCTGAAAAGGTGCTCAGGAGTTTGGAGGAAGGGGAACAAGTTTGGCAGCTAGTGAAGATTCATGGAAGGTAGCACAGAAGATGACAGTTATGCATTTAAGTACAGTGACTAATACGCTGGTAGACCAGTATTTCTTTTCTCTAATCGCACTTCACCCACAGATGTTCCTCTTCACCCACAGCTATGGACATATAGTTAGAGTAGATGGGAATCTGCAATGACGTGTCAGTGGTGGTAGGCAGTGGGCCTAAATAACGAATTCTATTGATATTTTACTTGAATTTCATGTTGAAATTCCCTCACACCCCCTGCACACACACACACGTGTACATTTGTAATTAGCCTTGATAAATTGGAATCTACTATGAGGCTAAGCCACAAAAAATTTATTTATTTAAGTGTCCTGAGAGGACAGGAAGGTGGGAGCTGGGAGGGCTGAGACCAGGATATCTGATACTTGCTTCCCATATCCTGTAGAAAAAGTTTTCTATTAAAAGAGCTAGTCTTTCACATTTTTTTTTATCTTCCAGTAGTGTTCTGGTTGCCCATCTGTATGAATAGCATTTCAGTGTATATTTACATACAACTTAGTGTAAAAATACCGTTTACTACAATAACCGTTGTGCCGAACTACAAGGTTAATGTGCTGTAATGTTAGCATGTCAGTGCCTAGTCTAACTGCTGGCTCAATCTGCAAATATTGGATGGCCATTTCTTTAATCATTTGAGTTTTCATAAAATACATGTCCAGTTATTCTTCCCCTCCTTCACTTGACTTGCTGTTAAACTGCGTTTCTTCCTTTTACTCCATCTCATGTTCTACGGTCAAGACTTTTCAGTATCTACTCTTCTGAGAGATTGGCTCAAAATAGCTTTCAGTCTTGAGGCACATAAAATTTTCTATGTCACAATTAGTTTTTTTCTGCATTTTTATAACAATTCCAAAAGACTTTTTGGACCTTAAAAAGTATTATGACCCAACTTTGTATCTGGATAGGTCACCATTCATCCCTTTCTAAAGAGTTTGGATGTCCAAGAAAAACCCAATTGAGAGATAAAAGTAGATATTTTTATCAAATATGAAAAGCATCAAGTGACTATAACTTCTATTTCTTTGCGATTTTCTTCTCTCCTCTGTCTCTTCCATGCCTTTCCCCTCTCCCTCTCTCTTTCCGACACTTCCTCACTTCCTAGATAGTAAGAGATATTCCCTCCCATCTATTTTTAAAAGAGTGTAATTCTCTGTTGGCATTAGAAAAAAATATGTTTTTTCTATTTAGGAATATAATGTTACAGTGCACATATGAAAATTTTAAAGAACAACAAAAACCTTCCCTAGTCCCATTCACAGAGATAACTGCTAATATTTGAATATATTCTAAAAATATAAATTGATATAGTCTATCTATAGCAATATCTATATCTGATGGCCATATGTATATATATGTGTATATACATATATATATATATATATATATATATATATATATAAAGGAATATTATTCAGCCATAAGAAAGAAGGGAAGTCCTGCCATTTGCTACAATATGAATGGATCTTGAGGGCATTACAGTAAGTGAAATAAGTCAGAGAAAAATAAATACTCTATGATATCACTTATTTGTGAAATCTAAAAAAGCCAAAGTCATAGAAAAAAAGCCAAAGTCATAGAAACTGAGACCAGAAAGGTGATTACAAGGGGCTGGGGGATGGGGAAAATGGGGAGATATTGGTCAAAAGCTACAAAATTTAAATTACATAGGATGAATAAATCCTGGAGATCTAATGTATAACATGATGACTATGGCTAGTAATACTGTATTGTATACTTGAAATTTGCTAAGAGAGTAGATCTTAAGTGTTCTCACCACACACACACACACACACACACACACACACACACGGTAACTGTTAAGTGATGGATGTTAATTAGCTTGATTGTGGTAATCATATCACAATGTATACATATATTAAAGCATCACATTGTATACATTAAGTATACAATTTTATTTGTCAATTATACTTCCATGAAGTTGGGGGGGGAAGGAAATAGGTTAATGACACCTTCAACTATTGCTGTTGAATTGTGTTTTTAAGTCTGTTTCTCCCTTCAATTTTGTAAATTCTTCCTGTATTTTGTGGCTCTAACTTTAGGTAAACATGTGGTTATGAATGTTTTATCTTCCTAAGGGTGACACTGTTATCATTTTTAAAGTCCCTCTTTGTCTCTTGTAACATTTTTTAAAAGTCCAATTTGCTTTATATCAGCATACACATTCCAGCTTTCTTATTGTTACTATTTACATGATATATATTTTTCCATCTTATTACCTTCAACCTATTTGTATCTATAAATACAAATTTGTCCACTCTCACAACATATACTTGGTTCTTGTTTTTTTTTTTAACCAGTGTCACAATCTCTGTCTTTTTATTGGATTGTTTAATTCACTCACATTTAATGTTATTATTAATATAGTTGATTTATACCTGCCATTTTACCTTTTTTTTTTCCTGTCTCATTTCTTTCTTTCCTTTATTTTTCCTTCACTTCTTAGTTTTGCATTAACGATTGTTTTCTCTTGTTACATTTTTTTTTCCTTTTACAGTTTTTTCATTATCTGGGGGTTATTTTCTTAGTGGTTGTTCTGGGGTTTGCCATATACATCTTACCTTATCAGAGTCTACTTCGATTTATACTAACTTAATTCCAGTAACATATAGAAATGTTACTCCTATAGAGTTCTTTTTTCTGCCTTTTGGTTCCATTATTATTATACATACTGCATTTATAAATGTTACTAACTGCACAGTACATTGTTATAAGTGTTAATTTATATAGTTGTATATCTTTTAAAAAAACTGAGAGAAGAAAAGAGCTAATGTATATTTATAGCATTTATTATATTAACCTTATTCATCATTTATGGTTCTCTTTAAGATTTGAGTTACCATCTAGTATCATAGCCTTATTCCAATACAGCTTTGCTCCCACCAATCTCCTCTGTGCTATTATTGGCAAATACATTACATTTCTATATGTTATAGACCTACTTCTATACATGCTGTTTTACATAATTGCTTTTTAAATCAACTAAGAGAAGAAAGGAGAAGCAATACACATTCAATGTTTTATCATTACATAATTATTTTATCAGTATCTTTTTTCTTTTTTTCATATGGTTTCCAACTACTGTCTGAGGTCACTTGCTTTCAGCCTGAAGAGTTTCTCCTAGTATTTCTTGTTAGTTGGATTCACTTACAATGAATTTTTTTCAGTTTTTGTTTACCTGACATTGTCTTTATTACAGCTCCATTGTGCTGCTTTCAAATTTTTCTCTTTAGACAAAGATGTCTTTAGACAAAAATGTCTTTGAACATTTAATTATCATGTTGCTGGGTAGCTCTCTTTGTGTGTTCCCTACTTGTAGTTTGTTGAGCCTCCTGGATGTGTAGATTAATGTTTTTTATCAAATATGAGAAATTTTCATGATTTCTTTGAATAAGTTTTTGCAGTTTTGTTTGCTTGTTTCTTTCTCTCTCCTTTCTCTGCTCTGGTAATCCTATTACGTGTATGTTGGTGAGCTTAGTGATGTTATGCGTTTCTCTTAGGCTCTGTTCATTTTTCCTTCATTCTTTTTGTCCTCTCAATTTTTTTGGATTGTATACTCTCTATCAACCTTTCTTTATATTTGCTAATTGTTTCTTCTGCCAGTTCAATTCTATGGTTGAGCCCTGTAGTGATTTTTCTTTTTTTGGTTATTGTATTTTCAATTTTAGAATTTCTATTTGTTTCTTTTTTGTAATTTCTCCTTTTTGATATTCTCTCTCTGGTGAGGCGTTATCATTGTACCTTCCTTTAATTCTTTAAGCATGATTTCCTTTGATTCTTTGAAGATATTTGTGAGAGCTGCTTTGAAGTCTGCTATGGTCAACATCTGGGCCCCCTCAAATAAAGTTTCTATTGCCTGCTTTAAAAAAAAAAAAAAACAGTGTGTGTGTCACCGTTTCCAATTTCTTGCGTGTCTCCTTTTTTTTAACTTTACATTTTAGATAATATATTGTAGTAACTCTGCATATGATTCTCCCCCACCCATTTGGTGCTTATCATTGTTTACTTGTTTATTTCTTTAGCTACTGGTGCTGCTATCTTAGTTTGAAGGCTCTGATGTTGCTCCTGAGAGAGTACTGCATAGGTTCCTGGGATGATAGTGGTTTTAGCAGGGCTTTCTTTGTTTCTTTCCCTGATCACACCCAGATGTTAGACTCCTTCAATTTCTGGCTGATCTGCTGTATTGTTTTATAGTGCCCTTGGGCATAAATTGCTCCACAGTTTGATGCAATTAAATTTGGGCCTCATTTTAGGGGTAGTGTCTGAAGCCAGTGTATGAAGATTGCTCTGACTCCAGGA